TGAACCATTATGGAGCAATTCAGCCCATTAATTTGCTAAACAGACCACGCTGAAAGAGTTAAAATAACCCAGCGATTATTGATACTTTGCGAGGATGCAGCCAAAATGAGAAAATATGACTCCTCTAGCTTTATCTTTTGCTGGGATTTTTGGAACCAGCTGCATGACATACAACTTCCTCACTTCCCTTTCTGCTTTGCAACCCGGAAAGAATGAATTATTTCTTCAAACTAGTCTGTGGAAGAGAACTCAAGTAAACCACGCTCTTAATAAATGTCGTGCTTCGGTGGAGCTCATGTTAGTGTTTAAAAAGAGCACCAGTCTCTCTTCCACTGCCGACACATTTGGTTCTGATTAACCCAGGAACTCCACATTCTGGTTAAAAATTTAAAGCAAAATTATTAAACGAATAAAATGGCAAACATGGGAATCAGTGACAGCATTTCCCCATGATTTTAAGTGACCTGCTGATAAAAATCTCCTACTTCTAGGAAGAAAATAAAAAGGAGAAAGGAGGAGATCTGAACCCCACTTTTAGATATGTTTTCATAAAAGCAGCTGCTTGGTTTTAAAGGCAGTTTTGGGGCAGAAAACAGTGAGATGTGATTTTAATGTTTGAGTGTTTAGGGTTCAATGCCCATCTCAGGAAAGATTTTGTCTCAGTTTTATTTTGTGAAGGTGTAGGCACAATTTTTCTAGCACAATTTTTGTGTCACAAGCTATTATGGTAACACACTCACGCACAGGAATGAGCCAGGCTGTGTAACAGGGCACAGTGGCCCTGAGCACACACAGTGTTTCTCATCACAATGGCTGTCGCCGAGTTTCCCACATTCCCCCCGCTCGCTCGTGCACACCAGTCTGAATCTGTAGTGCAGGCATGGTTTACACTGCCCGTCGCCCCTTCCCTGCGACCCTTTCGGGGACACGCTCCCACAGTATCAGCACGGATGTCAGTGGGAGTCATGGGTTGTCGTGGGCGCAGAATTAAGTTCATTTTAAAGAAATGATTCAGAAGCTCATTCTGAAATTGCTAAGCTTGAATGAGGGCCAATAAAGCACCCAACTGAGAAGCTAGAGACCCAAACTACCTACGTGAGCGTGTAAAGGCTGCAGCCCATGTATTTGCTCTGTAAATCTGAATAAAGCTTATAAAAGATCACAGAGTCAGCTCCACAAATGCAAAGCTCCGAGCAGCCCGAGCGCCAAGACACACGGCTGGCGCTAGCCGGTGGAGCGCGTGGACGTATCGGCCAAAAGCGCAGGTATTTTTCAAGTTGTCTTTCATAACCAGACAGGGGAATCGCTAGGTGTCACCAAGCAGTTTGCATTTTAAGGGGGTTAGCAAGCGGCGCGCTGTGAAACACCACTTAGTATTAAATAATTGATGCTACTGCCCACTTCACTCCAATGGATTTGCTTTGGTGAGCGTTCAAGTGTAAGAACTGTGGTTTTGCTCGGGGTAGAAACGTTTGAAATAATAAATTTTAAGCAGGTGAGATCTTTTTGGTCTCTCTGGAATGGCTTGAGCTAAGGAATGATAATGTGTGATAGTTATTTTCAAATGAGATAAAGAGCAGCAGGAAACGGCCCCGAGTCATCAGTGAAGGGAGTACGTAGGCTAATTATGGGGTCATCACTCAGGGGACCCCATTAGCTAGCTGGACCTCCTTTCTACTGCCAGCAAGTCAATGGAAGAGGAGGTCTGAGGTAAGATGGCTTAATCAATCAGTAATAAAAAGGTGTTCACTTCGTGGATTAGTCCGAGGATTTCAAAGCTGGGTTTTGACCAGCCGATCCCCATCTTCCTGCACACCATGGGGCATGCGTCTATGGACATTGCCAGCTTCTCCAATGAATCACAATAGGGACCTGACAGTCAAGGGAACATGGAGAGAAATTGCTACCAAGGAGAAAAGGAAATCTCTAGTTTCTGAAATAAGTATTCTTAAGCTTGAGAAGCCATCGGTGTATTCTAGAAAAATCACCCTCCCTACTACACTGGTGGCTGGTCAGGATCTCGGTTTGATACTTTATCAAAAAGTGAACCTATAGCTTGAAGAAGTGCTTGCCCACTGCTTGGTGGGGCTGTAAATCGGTACAAGCATTATGAAAAACAGTCTGGATATTCCTAAAAAGAAAGTTAAATAGAACTGTCAGATGACTTAAACCAAAGAACAGGCAAGCACTAACTCAAAAAGATATACGCAGCTCTATCTATTGGGTGTGGCTCTAGTCATCACACCCAAGAAGCAACCCAGGATGGGGGAATGGAGAAAGGAGAGATGGTATATGCCATCTCTTCAAAGATGAAGTCTTTGCATGTGCAACATGAGTTGACTCAGGATTATGCTGACTGAAATAAGTCAAAAGGAGAAAGACAAATATCAGCTGATTTCACTCATGCATCTCCTATAAAGTCAAACAAAAACAAGCCTTTAGACTGTCAGTAGACTGGGCGTTACCAGAGGGGCAGTGAAATAGGACTTGAGAGGAGCTGGGGGGGATATGGGCGACTGGTGATTGAGCAAATGTGGTCTTGGAACCTATACTGTTACCCCCAAAACAGCACAAAACAAGACTCTTGGATCCTTACCCCGCCGACCATGCGAAAGAATCTCAATTTGGGAACAGTTTTTCTTCCCGTAGAATCACCCTATTTGATAACAGCAATAGACTTTATCAATAATCTCAAACTTCTGCAGCAGGGCCCTGGCAAAGTGGAGAGTCTCGGGACGGCTGGCTGACCCATCCCTCTTCCCCCCGCCCTCACCGTTTGTGGACATACTTTTCAATGTTGTAACGGTTCACACTCTCAGAAGAAGTGGCCTTGCCCTTTAACAGCCAAGTTAAAAGGACCTATAGAAAGTAAAAGAAGGGTCGTCTGTCATCCTGACGTCATGACTCTGGAAGACTTAGGGCTAAGTGCTCTGTTTCCCTTCTGTCTCATTGCAATACACTGTTCTGCAAAAGTACACAGATGTGTTACAATAGCTTAGTCAGTTCTTTGCTGCTGACATCTCCAGGAAAGTTCACCAGAATATTGCTTTTAAAAAGCAGGATTTCTATGAATTAAGTTTTATACTCTCAAATTCTATATTATAAAGTTTCAACCAAGCATATATGCAGTATGTAATGTATGTAATTATGGAGTTAAAGCTTCCTAATGCTTCTTGGAATAGTTGTCTTTACTGTCACTTATTTAGATATAATAAAACTTAATAGAAACACTTTAAGTATGATATGTGATAAGTGCATTTGGGACAAGATGATCATGGTGGTGTTTCAGTGCGTGAAATGTGTTATTCTTCAAAACAAGGCTCACCTGTGATTTTCACAAGACTGGTTTGCCAACCCACCTCCGCCGGAGCCACCACATTTTGGCTGGGTGGAGCCTGGCATTCTTGGAGGGTGTTGGGTATGAGACAAATGAGTGTTTTCCTCCACCATTATTGAAACTGAAGGCAAGCATCTCAAATTTGTTTATATTAGCCCATATCAACTACACCCATGGAGCACAGCCCTCTCCTTCATCTCCCAGACCTGACAATTCACTTGGAGGTCATAATCAAACCACGGCACCTGCTGTAAGAGGTGCCCATGTAGGTAGTAACCCACACGTTGAACTTCCAAGCAAGGTCAAAATCCAGAACAAATAAGGACACATTCAAAAGTGGCCCGTGGCGCTGTGTCTGAGTCTCGGACGGCACTAAAAACTTATTTCTGTGTTCCCCCTGCTTTCAACTAAACCAAAACCCTACCCACGCCACCATCATTTCGTGAAGATCTTCTAATCAGAGCGGCTCTCCTGCCCAGGCTGATCTGATGGCGGCACTTTTTCCGCCTCTCAGGCCATACAGCCTGCTATCACTTTGAAAACGGTGCAAAGGAAGTGCTTTCCATTGACTTCCAATTTATTCCTTTCCTATTGCGATCCTAAAATGAGCAAAAGGAATGTTAAGAACAGAATTTTAATGTAATTCAGTTGAAAAGGTTTGTTCCTCTGACAAAATCATGCTGCTGGGTAACATTCATTTTATTAAAAGGGAATCTGTCAAAAAAGAAAAGCAATTCAAGCTACAGGAGAACTAAGCTTTCTGTATAAGATCCATTCCAGAAAAGTTGTGCACGGAAAATATTTGTGCACTGAATCATCTTTTTCTACTGACTTTTATAATAACTTTAGAGGTGTGCTTCGATAGAAAATACTTTTTTGCCTCAGCACATCATTGTGGAAGTCACGCTAAGGAACTCAATATTCATTTCCGGGGAACATTTTATATTTGTCAACCTGCCATCTCTGTACATTTAATCTCCCTGTATGGTTTGTGCAACATTCATTGAGAGACAAGCAATGAAGCGTGCTGCGCATGTACCCTAAAGGTACAGTGGCCAAAGCAGTGTCATTCCTCTTGACCTCTCCAATGGTTCTCACACAGCACACTGCCGGGCTGGGCCTCCATGTAGTTAACAGAGCACACCAGCTGGACACGAGCCCCTGACATTTCCAAATTCTCTCAGAGCCACTGGCAATTCCTCATATGCTCATAGTGGTCAGGTTCTTGCAAGGGCAGTTTGGATTCTCCGATAACTGATCAACAAGTTCAGCCCTTCCATTTGAGAAGAATAACCTGGCAGGACAGATATGCTCAGCCAAGCTCTTTGTACTGTTCTCAACACTGCTCACTCCCATGGGTCACTGTTAACTCCAAGGGCTGATGCCCCACACCCAGGCACTAAAAGCTTCTCAGAAGGCCTGCTGCTAACATAGGAGTAGAATGTTAAGCAGAGGTAGATTTCCTATGAGGCTAATGAAGCTTTAGGGCCCCCCACATCTACTCCCTATCTCGTCCTGTCATCTTCTTATTCAGAAAAAAAATCCAAAAATAACAGAAGCTCCAGCCCCCCCCAAACCTTGGTTCAACCAGCCTTTCAGATCACACCATGCCATTTTAGAGTACATAATTATAGCACAGTAATTAGAATTTTGATCTACTTACTCAAAAAAGGTGGTCCATCCAGTTTCATCGCTTTTAGTGGCCAGTAGGCCACTGTTGCCATGGTACGTGAACAAAACTAGCTCTAGGCCCTGGGCCGTCATGCTCTTCAAGCATCCATTGGTGCCTATGGTCAACCATATCACTTGGTTATCCGGAGACACCACGCGCACTGGCATCCGATTCGGGTCCCGCCTGATCCGCAGGGTGTTGCCATTGCTGTCTGTCACGGCCGTGATGTCGTTGTCGTTGCTGTAGCTGAAGTTGTAGAGGTAGTCGCCCGTGACTAGGCTCACCGTGAACTGGTGGGTGCCATTGACGTCAAAGATGTAGAGCTCCTGGTCCGTGGGAGAGGCCACTTCATAGAAGTTCATGGAGCTCAGCAGAGGCCTGTTCTTGGACACCGCCCGGATGCGGATGTTGCCCAGGTCGGCGATGTACAGCGTCCCGTCGGGGGAGGCGGCCAGGGAGGACGGGGCGTTCAACTTGGCGTCCTTGGCGTAGCCGTCCCCCGTCTGGTAGCAGTCACAGTTGGCATCGTTTTTGCAGTCGCACTCCGAGGGTATCCCAGCCACCAGGGAGATCTCCCCATCGGTGGTCACCTGCCTTATGCGGTTGATTTTCTTTTCGTCTGTTTCTGTGATATACAGGACCCCGCTGTAGGACACGGCGATGGCAGTGGCCGACTCCAGGGTGGTCTGCACCGCGAGCTTGCCCACGGAATACTCCACGCCGGGGACCTGGCAGTGCATGGGCCGGCCGGCAGCGACCCGGACCTGGCGGTTCTCAGTGATCTGCAAAACCACGTTATTATCCAGGACATAAATGGAGTTGTCCATCGGGTTAATGGCCAGGTCGGTGGGCCACTCCAGGCGCACCTTAATGAAAACAGAAATGGTTTGGTTAGCCAGAAGAGTGCACTGCAGTTAATGGGCCAAAAGAGTAAATGACCCTTCATTTGATCAACAGGCTTAAAAATTTACCAAAAGAGTAAACTAGACTATTTAGGGAAATGACCCTTCATTTGCTCAACGGGCTTACAATGGTTTTTGGAATAGCTTCTTACAAACTTCAAAGATTTGAGTAGAGACAAATGAAGGAAATAATAGGACATTTGATTTAAAGATTCTGCTCACTGAAAGATTTGCCAGTGAGAGTCAAACAGTGACTGAACCACATGAGTTAGGAGATGTGTGATTGGAGCATGTGTGATGGATGCACCTTGGTGACAGCCACCAACTGCTGGGCTCCCCAGGATGTGGACATATGTGCTCTGTCACTAGTCAAGCCCATGGTGAAGCTGCTAATTCTAAACTAAACTTGAGACTAATCATAATGAGCTCCCTTTACTAGGGAAGGAGCAGCTGCCATCGGGAAGGAGCAGCTGCCATCGGGAAGGAGCAGCTGCCATCGGG